GTGACTCAGTGGGTTAAGCACTCAACCTCACCTCCGGTCATGATCTTGAGGTTTGTTAGTTTGAGCCCCATATCAGGCTTTCTGCTGTCAGTGTGGAGCTTGCTTCAGATCCTCTGTCCCTCTCTTTCTGCCCCTCCCCTGCTTGTGCTCTTTCTCAAAAATAACAATCATTAAAAAAATAAAATAAAAAGAGCATGGACTCTGGAATCATGCAGACTTGGGTTCGACTTATTAGACACATGACCTTTGCTTCTTGACCTTGGAAATTTGTTGACTTAGGTTTTTGTTTTCTCTTGTAAAAGATCCATAGGGTTTTATAAAAACTTCACAACCTATAAAATAGCAATAATAATAATATCTACATTGAAGGTTTGTTATAAGGATTGAATGGGAATTTGCCAAGTGTGAGCACCTTGTCTGATACATAAAAAATTCTCAATAAAAAGTTTGTTTCTGCAAGAGTGTGTGTAATGCTTTTTATTCACAAATTACTTTTTGTTGTTAACGGCCTAATGAACCCAGTGTGAAGTTATTCCATTGTTTTTGTTTTCAAACATTCTCTGAATAGTTGGTTTCTTTAAAAATATTTCTATCTCAATTTTTATAGTCTTTTATTCTTTGCATAAACAGTTTATTTCAATGACATCAGAACACTGACTTTGATAGAAAGGTTATATATTTTCCTGATTCCTATATAATTATATTTTTCTGAAATGCTAACAACAATGGTGGTTAGTAAGGCTGAAAAGGAGTTCCATTTTGGTTAGCCCTATAGTTAGGAATTATGTATAAAAAGATGGGCACAGATTTGCAACGACGTGGATGGAACAAGAGTATATGACGCTAAGTGAAATAGTCAATCAGAGAAAGACAATTATCATGATTTCACTTATATGTGGAATTTAAGAAATAAAACAGATGAACATAGGGCAAGGGGAGGAAAAATAAAATAAGATAAAAACAGAGAGGGAGGCAAACCTTAAGAGACACTCTTAAATACGGAGAACAACCCGAGGGTTGCTGGAGGGGAGGTGGAGGTGGGGGAAGGACTAAATGGGTGATGGGTATTAAGGAAGCCAACTGTTGGGATGAGCACTGGGTGTCGTATCTAAGTGCTGAATCACTGAATTCTACTCCTGAGGCCAATACTACCATATATGTCAACTAACTTGAATTTAATTAAAAAAAAAAAAAAAGTAGGGGCGTCTGGGTGGCTCAGTCGGTTAAGCGTCTGACCTTGGCTCAGGTCATGATCTCACAGCTCATGGGTTCCAGTCCAGCAAAGGGCTCTGTGCTGACAGCTAGCTCTGAGCCTGGAGCCTGTTTCAGATTCTGTATCTCCCTCTCTCTCTGACCCTCCTTTCTCACGCTGTTTCTCTCTCTCCCAGGAATAAATAAAACATTAAAAAAACATTTTCAAAAAAGTAGAAATGAAAGATAATCCCATGATCACTTAATAAAGTAGTTCAGTAATCCAAAAAAAAAAAAAAAAAAAAAAAAAAGGTGGCCACAGGATTATGGTGGATAGTAAAAGTAGAATGATTTTTACAAAGTAAAATACTAGATTAATCTTTACCAGATGTCTAATAATCATTACATGTTTTGATATGGAAAGAACTCCAATGTGCATTATTTAGTGAAAACAGTAGAGCACAGGACAATGTGTAAAATACATTTCAATATATGTTTGAAAAAAATACAGACAGAAAATTAGATAACGAGATAGATACTTATATATGTATGCTTGTCTAAGCTTAGAAAATTTCTGGGAGGATTTATAAGAAACTGCCAATAATAATTGTCCTGGAGAGAATAATTGAAGATTTATATTAGATAAGAGACATTTCAATATATACTGTTTAGTTCTTGTTAAATATTTTGTTAGGGCATATTATACATTTTAAAAAAAAATCAGTGAATACAAAAATTGTCATCATCATTATCAACAATCAAGTTTCTACCCATTGTAGAAGGCAATGTGCTAGACTTTATATGTATATAAACAGGTATTCGCAAACATCCTGCAATATCAGTTGAAGTTATGTAGCTTATATAATATTGCAGAGGAGGTAAAGGATGGATTCATTTTTTCCTGCTTTTAATTAGGGTTTTTGGAAATCTATGATTAGTAGCCACCTGTGTAGGCAGTTACCTCTTTACTACATAGAAAACGAAAAGGATTTCTTCACCTATGATCTCAAGTCATTGGGATTACAAACTTTGTCAATATGTATCATCCCTAGAGTCTCAGTGAAGGTAACGACTTAAAATAATACCTTTCAAACCTATTTTTCATTTCAACTATTAGGACAACCTTGTCATATAATTTTTTTCTGACTTGCAAGTTATAGCCAGGATTCTGCACAAAATCCAACTGGTTTCTGCCTAAATATGTTGTCATTTAATATAAATGTACAATTCTTCTGTGGCTTTAAAGTGTTAGGAGTCCAAAAAAAAAAAAAAAAAAAAAAATCACCTGAACTTGCACTATGTCAATTTTCCACTTTTAAATTGCTGAAGTAAACATCATTTGTAATTTCTTTGCCTATAAAATTGGAGATAGGTCTAAATATTATGTAATGTTTGTTCTATTGATCATTTCTAGTTGTGATTTGAGGAACTACCATAAAAATGTCAAGGGTCACAAGGAGGTAGCAGCATAGCTCATTACACTACAGGTCTTCATCTTTTATGGGGGGAGGGGAAGAGTAGGCAGGAGGAAAAAGAATCAAATTCACTAACAAAGAAGAAAGGGATGGATTGATGAAGTCTTGGATTGTTCGTGTCTGATATTGAAGGATAACATGGAAATAGAACCTGAGGAGAGGTGGACTAGGCCCTACAACTTTAGAAACACCAGAATGTAGATTCATGGTTGTATTAGAATTCTGCTCCCAATTGGCTATGTGGATACTTCTGTGGGATTTAATCATGAAGGGTCTTGATAAGTAGGGTAAAATTCACAAAAAGAGTAACTTATTACTATACCCATTCATAATGATTATTCAGGGCATTGAGCCTGAACCTAATTTTTAAACTATTTAATTTGCTACTCCTTTGTATCTGAGAAAAAGAGCTTTACGTCAAAGTTAAGTCTTTGTGTCTTTTTCAAAAAGAAGAGGATATCCCAAACAGCTGTGAAACCTGTCACATGCATCTATGGCATTTCGACTACAGTCGTTCAGATGGCTTTTGAACAACCAACCATTCCCTTAGAGTTTTTCTCCCCTTACATAAAGATTTACATAAGCTGTGGCTTTAGGAATTGTAAATAAGCTAGATTTCTCTCTCTAGAAGATCAGTACAAAGAACAATGCGAGTTTACTCCATTTTCTTATTAATGGAAATAGAATTTTATTTTGTTTTCTTGCAAACTGGGGGGACAAATATGAGACTATTTAAATTTTGATGATACCAATTTTACAAAGGATGAGCTTTAAGACTTATGTGGAATGAGGTAGAGTATGGTGGGAGACAATTTCAGGTCTTTTTAAAGAGAACTTTGGCTCATTTTACTTCTGCAGAATAAATTGAAATCCCTTTATAATGCCCTAAGTTTCTTTTTCTGCCCTTCTTGAAAACTCCTTGTGCCCTCTTCTCACAACCAACTTTTCCCTCTTTTCTTTCTCCCCTTTCTCTCTTTCCACTTTCCCACACAAAGCAAAAATGACACCTTAGTCTGATTTCTGGAGCTTCAAATCAACCCCCTTCTCAAATTTCTTAATGGGGGCTGCCAGTTTTTTCTGACATTGTCACATTGCTAACTTCTTTTGATCAAAGCACCGAATATCCCGCATCAAGTTTAAATCTTCTATCTGTAAAGAAGCCAGCCATTCAGCAGAGTGTTGCAAATATAGTTCATGGGACATGTAAAGCTTGGTGAGGCGAAAGGTAAGGGTACAGTGTTCAGAGCATGGTCCCTGCTTAGGAAGTCACTCAGTCTCTGGTGGTAGAATGCAGAATCAGGGACCCTGAGTAGCCAAGGGGAATAGGTTTTAGAGCCGGGTTTCCTTGTGGAAAGAACAATGAAAACTAAAGGGCAATTTTCACCCCTATTAGCATCTTTCGTGAGAGAAATATTCCTAGACTCCCTAGCATGGGTAATCATTTGACAAAAACAATGTTGAATGAATGGATACGAAAGGAATTGTTCCAATCAATTTTTTCCTTTACCTCAAAACCTGGGCAAAAATAAACTACATTTGGATACGTGACAGCTAATTATTCTTTTTAGCAAGTAATTACATCCATAAAGAATGATATTCATTCCAAACTGTGTTCCAGAAGAGCAGGAAGATAAAGTACATCAATATATTTTAGAGCAAGTTATAGAAGAAGAAATCTACAAAGTTTATCAATGATTTGCTACAAGATTAGAAAAAATGCTACCTCGTGCTTCTAGCAGTTTTAGGAACCCATTATTTATTTTCATTAAATAACGAAAAGTTTAGCCACTTCTGTCCTTAAATTTGATTCAGTTACTTTTATGTGCTTAAGAGCATTCAGGAGTGCCGGGCAAAGTTTTGAAGAGGAGGGGATAAAATGCTGAATCTTATAAATCTTGGCCTTCTCTTTAAAGACTATAAAATACTCACATGTTCTAAAGGCTGGCAGCACAGTATTAACTATAGCAAGCACCGGTGATGGTTTTTTTCTTACAACTGTTGCAGAGGCATTTATACTAAGGTGAAATCAGCTTAGTATTTGGTTTGGCATGTTTAACCAAGTGTGCACTGAGGAGACTACAACTTTAAACAAAAGACAATACACTGCCTAATTAAAGAGTTAATTCTTTAGTTCTCTGAGCTCAGTCGGTAAACATTTGTGAAACACTTCTGTGTATTATCTAATTATTGGAAACTAGGGACAGTTTTGTAAGGAAGGAGGGTGGCTTGGAATAGACCTCTCCACCAGACACTCTGACCTTCATAGCATTATGAAAGAGCAGAAGATCACCTGAAGGAATAAGGGAGGATACTTGCCTGTGCCCTGAAGCTTACCTTTGCAAGTTGTTCGTGAATCTCAAGCAGGCTGGGTCGGTTGACCTTGGGCCCGCTGATGCTACCGGTGTTGCGATAGTACTCAATCTTGGGAACAGCATCCACGGTGTTGTGGCCAAAGGTTTGTAGGTAGTACGTGTTTGTGTGAGAATCGTAAGCATGAAAACTGGCATCTGTTTTCGCGGTTTCTCCATTTTGGAGGAAATTGTCATAGCACTCCTGACTTCCAGGCCTAAAGCTGATTCTGAATCTGTTCTGGGTTTCATCCCCGAAAGAGGTTTCCTCATAATGTGGAGGGTCGGTGTTATTATCCACAGCCGTGCTGCTCTCGCGGCTCTCATTTATTACATTAACCTGAAAGCGGTTGCTATTACTGGGCGCTGAATCCAGAAACACATTGGAAGAGTTCAGTGACATCTTCCAAAAGGACTTTTTTGTTTGGACTAAGCTGTCTACTTTATGGCTGTTGTTTTTTAAAAAAAATGTATGTATTGCCTCTTCAAATAAACTTTAATGTGTTTACGTAAGGGAGCTCCTGGCATTTATTCTAGAAGACTCAATAAATAGATTCTTGATGTATTGTCTCCTATACAATCTTCAGAAGGTTCTTGAAAGCTGCCATTGAAAAAGAAAATTAAACGTGTTTCAAGTAATATAAATACATTTAAGTAGGGATAGGGGTGTGAGGAAATCGTTTTCTGTCAAGAAGACATAGAGTTTTAAGTTCACTGCATTAAAAATTACCTTTCCAGGAACTCTAGTCGCCTGAGCAATTAAATCCCATAATAAATAACGAAGGGACCCGCTTCAGCAAACAGAATTTTCAATAGGGTCATTAAAATGTTATCTGTGTTGTAGCATTTGCTTGGACTCAGTGCATTTAGATTCAGTATGATTTTAGAAAACATCTAACTGTACCAGTGAGTACAGTAAGAGCTGATGAGAATATTCTGTCTGAAACACAGTTCACTGACAGTACTAAATATTGAAACTACAAAGTATTTTTTATGGACGTGAATTCATATTAACTGATGATTACATTCCATGATGATTATAAAGTTTAAAAATATTTTTTAAATTTTCTAAAAAACACGTGCTTGTTAATTTATAAAAATACATCCCGAGGAGAAGATAGCTCTGTAAATTCTTGGATCTTTTTCTAGCCTTTTATTTGCTCATACATTTGTATGTTTACAAATGATGTCGTGGAGTCTTCAAAAATATATGAGTATTCAGTGTAAGGAAATAAATCTCAGTCCTTAAACAAGGTGTACCCTATATTTAGGTAAAACAATCATGCCCTATTAATTCCCTTTAATGAAATAGTCTCAAATTCATTGAAAAGCTTATAATTTGACCGAGAAGTAAATAGACTACATAATCACTTCTTTTACAATCCATGATATGAGCCCATCTTAGAACATTCTTTCATGAGATTAATATTTCTTTATTGGTAACTTAAATTTTGGCTTTTTAGAAAAACAGACAAATGTAGAAAAAACTGTACCTTTCTCTTGAAGTTACTGGGCTAGTGCTCTAAATTTAAAAAATATTCTAACTTCAACTTCCAAAGAACATTTTTGGGAGACATTATAAGTGAAGCTGTTATCTCTTTAGTTTTCATAGACCATCCCATTTCTCTTCATACTCCTTGACATCCTCGCCTTTACTCCACTCCTCAGAATCTATGTTACCACATAATGTTAAGTGTGATTTTTTACCTAATCCAGAAATGTTTAACTTACCATCAGAAGAAGGCGCGTTCTTCTCAGGAAGCTTTACCTGTTTCAACATCACCCAGGCATATATGGGGCACCTCGCTTTCACTGCAAAACTTCAGGCTTCTTCTTATTGGTTAGAATCTTCCTTGAAAGAGATGACTGAGCAGTAATTGGTCTAGAATAAAATTGTGGGCCCTGCCCAGTCATTAGCCCTGAGGAACCTTAAGTACTTCATCAACTAGTAACCAGTGGTAAATCATTAATCCGTTTAAACAGGAAGTTGCATAAAGTTACTTTAATTCATAAGGGGAATTGGATTGCTCCACAGTAATAATCCACCAACCATAAGCAGTGATTGAGTTGCTCAGGGCTAAATAAATTGAATCCCATTGTCTTCATGATTCCTGGTGACCTCCTATTGTTTAGCATGATCAGCAAAATCTAGGCCTTCAGAAAAAGTTTCTATACTTTTTGACTAGAAAATGGTATTTGAGATGATTTCCTTTTTTATAGTAGATATTAGCTTAATTCTCTGCATGGGAAGTGAGAGACTGAATGTAGAATCAGTGATTTATTGAAAATATCTCTACCTAGTGGGAAAACTGTTTCAAGCAGGAATGAAACCTGGGTAAGATTCCCAGTGGCACTGCTAAATGACCTTTTTGTCTCTACCTGGCAAAACATTGATATGAAACCTGTTTTTTTAGTGTCGTTGAGGGACAGGTTTTGCTCAAATCCGTGAGATGGTGATTATTAAGACAGCACAAACAATTCCTCCACACAGGTCCTGTCATTGGTTTTCAATCAGGTTGATTGAATGAATCCACCTTGTGTTTTACAAGAAACTATCCAAGTGATTTCCAGCTGCCTGAGCAGCACAATTGTGGCAAAACATAGTGGTGAGGAGGAAAACTCTGAAGCCAGAATACTCAATTTGCATCCCAGCTGTGCCACTTCCTAGCTGTGTGAGCTCTGGCAAATTATTCAATCTCTCTGGGCCTTAACGTTCTCACCTGTAAAATGTCATTGTGGATAATAATGTTACCTACCTTGCTGTAAAGTTGTTGTGAAAATTAGATGAGCTAAATTTGCAGATAGGATTTAGATCAGCAGTGGTTTGTACCTAGCATTTTTACTATTTTGGAAATGTTTACAATTGACTGCTGACTTTTACTTAGTCCTATCTAAGATTCCAAAGTGAATCGTTAGAGATTGAGATAAGTACTATGCCTATTAAAGTAGGAGGAAAGGTGGGGCGCCTGGGTGGCTCGGTCGGTTGAGCATTCAACTTCGGCTCAGGTCATGATCTCGCGGTTCGTGGGTTTGAGCCCCGTGTCGGGCTCTGTGCTGACAGCTAGCTCAGAGCGTGGAGTCTGTTTCAGATTCTTTATCTCTCTCTCTCTCTCTCTCTGACCCTCCCCTGCTCATGCTCTCTCTCTCTTTCTCAGAAATAAATAAAAACATAAAAAATTTTTTAAAAAAGTAGGAGGAAAGGTAAGTTGGTGAACAGATGCTGGATTGTAGAAAAGGGTCTAGAGACATACGAGTAAAACTCCTTAGATGCTCTTAGGTAAATGTCATGCTAATCAGCCAGGCTAATGCCAGAGGCTGTTTCAGAAACAGAGACAGAATTACTTACAACTATGTACCACTAACTCATTCTGCTCTCAGCAGGCATTTATCTGTTGAACAAAGAGTTCTGACTCCCCACACAGAAGGCATGGGATTATGCCCTTCGGATTCAGATTCATTTCAGATTCATTTGGGTGTTGCTATTATTTAGAACAGCTAAGATGGGCCTGGGGCTCAAAACAAGTCCTTTTCACTGGCCCTGGATGGAAGCTGTGAATTAGCTTGCAATTATTTCTGCCACCTCTAGTCCCCTTTTCCTTCAACCATTCCCTCAGCCCCATCCCTCTTTCAGGAGCCCACCTATTTATTCCTTAACCTTTTCTCTCTGCCAAAGACTGTGAATGCATCTGAAAGTGGTCAATTTCCTTTTTCCTTGCTGTATGCCTGTCTGACTACAGTGTGTGAATAAGTTTTAGTCTTGGTCTTACATCAACCAGACATTTTCATTCTAAACCTTTTATCTTACCTGTGAAATGAAAGTCTTTGTTCTCTATTAGGGGATTCAGATGTTCTGGAGCAGATGGGAGATGGTTTGGGGGATAGGGATGAAATTACACCATCCATAAAGCCAACCTTGAAAAGTAAACTCAATTTAGGCCTTTCAGACATAAGGGTAAGGTAACAGGAGGAAACTGTCTGGAGATACGCTCCTCAATTTTTTCTCTTGTCTTCCCTGATGGGGCTCTAGGAAAGGGGAAGCTAGAGGATGATCTGACTCTGACATTGGACTTTCCTAGAAGAATTAGCATTTCATGAAGATTCAATGATGTATCCATATTATAACCATCCTTCATATTTTTTATGTCGTTTCTGGCTCTGAAAATACAGACACTGACCACTCTTTCCCCACCCCTCCCTCCAAAAAGTCTAAGATAAACCCTAGATCATGAATAAATGCCATGGATAAATACACTTTTGGTTAAAAGAATTTCTGTTTAGTGGGATTGAAAATAATACTATGATGGAGATGATGATATATGAAAAGCTTGTGAGTGTTGAAATTCCAGAAATAATACTCATACTTCATAAATTTTCTTGTATTTTGGGTTTTAGGGTCTTCCTTCTTTTAGAAATAAAAGTCTGGTTTTGTTATGTTAGTCACCAAAATGGAGGGTCTTGTTGGGTGTCTTCCCAGGAAGACAAATGGTGGATCTGGTACTTGGCTATATATTTTAGCAAGTACTTTAAAAGCCTGGTTCACAAAGGAGGTGCTTAGTGTCCTGGGCATATACAACTTTCAATGTGTTCAGCTGGCTTGGCTCAATGAGGTGTTCTTGGACCAAACTACTAACTGGCTACAAGTTGTCCCAGGCCAACACTCCTATACCTACTGAGGTTCAAAGAGCCTCCTTGAGGTGTGGGGTTGGTCCAGAAGATCAACAGGCAACACAAAAGTGTTCTAAGTCTAGTAGGAGATGGAAAGTATCAGGGAACCATAACTGAGACAACTGGTTTTAGTGACCTGAGCAGTAACCATATTTCTAAGATATACAGAAATGTTGAGGATAGTGCCTGGGAGTACAGCATGATGTTTACAAATAATGACTGTGACATTAGACTGCCTATGTTCAATTCCTAACACAACCACTCTCTAGCTTGATGGGCCTGGGAAGTTACTTAATCTCTCTCAGCTTCAGTTCCTCATCTGTGACCCTGAGATAATAAAATGGAAATAGTAGTGTTGAACTCAAAGGATTCATAAGGGGATCTAATCACCTAATAAATAGAAAGCACCCAATTTAGCGCTGTTAGTAAATATTAGTCATTCTTTTTTCTGTGTGTTTGGCAGTTCTGTGTTCTCAAGTGACAAGAATAGTTTTGTATGTATTTACCTCCTACTATATTTCTCCATTCGGTAATCATAAGGAGTTAAAATTTTGTAGCTGTTAAGAATTTCATAATAATATAATCCTATCTTTTCATTTGTCAAATGAAGACGGTGAAGATTGATTAGGGAATAACTTACACTAAGCCATTGCTTCTTTAGGTTTGAGAATCCCTATCACTATTACCAATGAGGATAATGAATAATGATTGCAAGGTATGTTTCCACAATGTTTTATGGTTTTCAAATTGCTTTCACATTCATTATACATCACTCGGTCCTCTCAACATTCCTGAAAGATATGCAGGATAGGTTTCTTTATCCTTGTTTTTACAGATGTGGAAAGGTTCCCCTTAGACAACTTTCTAGGCATAAAGAGTCTCGGCTAAGTCAACATTAGAATTCAAATCACAGAATTTAGACTCCTAAGCTGAAAAACTTTTCATGACATCTTAAATCCTCATTCATTTCAGATCTCTGGGTTTCCAGACATGTTCACAGAGTTCACAGGGCACCAGAATTGAAAGGAACTCTAAAAATCCTCTGGTTAACTTCCTCACTGAAGTCCATTGAGATTAGATGACTTGGCCAGCCACACATGTTTATTGAATTAGTGAATGAAATGAGCCTCTTCCAGCATGCTTGAGGAGATTACAATGATATCTTCCATGGGTCTCAGTGGCATAACCCTAAAAACCGTAAAGGTGGAACTCTCACGCGAGTGCATATTCGAAGGTCCCTTTGTCAAATTCTTCAACTTCATCTTCCCATGTAGAAGAAGGCATGCTACTGTACGGATCTAACAGGATTTTGAAGCATCTAATAATAAGAAGTCCCAAGAAGATGCACAAAATCCCAACAAAAGCAAAGCCAGTTTTTTGCTCCAGAGTCAATGAAAAAGCTGATACTTCGTTGACACTCATCTTAGCTGAAGAGTTGCCACAGTAGGTACTACTCATTATTCACTGTCACATCATTATGGCTCTTCAGAATTCCTGCTGGAGTCACCTCTCGGCCTAGATACAAAATTGGACTCAGTTTAGTGTTACTCATATATGGTATTGAGCAGATAATTATTTTATAAAGTCTGGCAGTTTTCAAACACTCTTGACTTAACTCACAAAAGATGTATGAAAACATCATCAGATATGGATCAGGATCAAATTAGCATTGGAGATGCTATTTCTATTATAGTAATTACTGAATTCCCTCTGTGGACACATGAAACTGTACCTACATGCACTAAATATAAAATCAGATATGAGAGTGAATATTCAAATAATTAACCCTAGAAGCTTTTGATTCATTGTGAGATGGTTTAGTCACTGATTCTTTGAACTGAACTATTATCTAATTTTTACTTCATTTTTGCAGGTGTAGACACCATAAATAATCCTAGCATGTAAGCTGGTGAAGCTGTCTAAGGTCCAGGTTCTAAGGTCTATCTCCAGTGCCACTTTGTCTGATACAGATTCTGATCCTTTTAAATAGGTATAAAGTCTTCTCTCTTTTCATTCCCTTCGCTTTTAGATGTATGATTTTGTGTTTTCTTCCCCACTACCATTCCATATCCTAGATGCTAATTTCTTAAAGAGATAAATTGTGTTTTAAAAATTATTTTGGTAAGAGCAGTACCCAACCAAGCATCCTGCAAGTAGCAGGCAGCAGTAGCTGTGGTTATCCTTAGCCATGGCCCCACCATCCCCTTTAGCTTTCAGAACACCCTAAATGGACATAAAATCTGAGTTAAACAGCATGTTTTCTATAAACACTCAGCCTCACGATGAACTCCTCAGTTCTCTTCCCAACCAGAATCCTACTCCTAAGCTCGTACTCTACTGAGATTTTAAAACTATAGCAAAAGTCTTCAGAAAGTACGTGTTGGATTGAAGCAAAATAGATTTTCCCATTTGATGTGTTAGTGTTAATTAAATTAATTAATTAAAATGAAGATGAGTTACTTAGATCAAAGGTTACTAACCCATAGCCACCCTTCTTGAGAGGATTGTCATCAAATAGCTTGCAATCCAATAACTGAGAATAATAGATTATTAGTGTTTGCATTTTTATTGTTGCTTTTCTACTAATTTTTAAGACTTATTTATTAAAATGACTGACTCTTCGGATTTTTTTGTATTCAATTTTCAGAAAACCACTGAGACAGAACAGGGATGGGAGGTAAGGAATAAAGAAAAGTAATTAAAGAGAACAAAACTTGTAGCTTTCAAAGTTATCCATCAATGAATAAACCAGTTAATATTTAATGATATTCTTTTTATTATGATTTGGATTACAAAACAGCTTTATCTTCATCTTCAAACGTTAAGGGTCAGGAATACTTAATATATTTGGGGGTATGCTGTTATTTGACTTTTTGTTTAATAAAAGGAAAAATATTGTTTCCAACTTCTCTGTTAAACTTCTTTCCATCAAATCATTTTTTCTGCCCTAATACATATTGGTATAGACTATACTCTAATTTTTTTTTAATTTAGTATCACTTAAGTGGCTCAGAGTGATTTTACTGATTGAGCTCTTGTATCTACTCTTTATCTTGTGGGAGACATGAGACCAGACTGAATATCTAATGACCCTGGGACTTAACTAGAACTTTTTTCTGATGAAATCTCTACTTTTCTTGCTTTTGTCAGTTAAAGGTCTTTTCATGAGATCCATACATCCTCTGGTTCATTTGCTTAATAAGTGGAGATACTGAAAAGCAGTATGTTTCTATATGGAGATGCTAAACCAAACATTTGTCGTGTAACAGACTGATTCAGCCAATTAACAAGTCTGAATTCTTTCTTCACTAAAGCCATGACTTTGCTAGGCTATATCACTTGAATATTTCAGAGGGCATGTGTGTAAGAGGAAGCAATAAACTTGGTTTACTGGTGGACACTGTGGTGTGTACAACAGGCTCCCTTCAATGATGGATTTATTGCCCAAAAGCTGGGAGTATTGCCACCAGATAGTCTTCTGCTGTAGCTCCTTTCAGCTGAGCTGCCTCATCCAAGATCACTTCAATACCTAAGGCAGACCATTTTTTAAAGATTTTTTAAAAATATTTTTATTTTATGTTTGAGACAGAGAAAGAGAGAGAGAGAGAGAGAGAGAGAGAGAACATGAGTGGGGGAGGGGCAGAGAGAGAGAGAGAGAGGGAGGCACAGAATCTGAAGCAGGCTCCAAGCTCTGAGCTGTCAGCACAGAGCCCAACGTGGGGCTCTGTGCCAGGAACCCGGAGTTCATGACCTGACCTGAAGTTGGAGGTGTAACCGACTAAGCCACCCAGGAGTCCCAACTGATAAGGGAGACCATTTTTAATGACTGATTAATGTGAGAGCAAAATGCCTGATCATCTTTACACAGGGAGCAGAATTCTAAAAAATCACTCTAGCTCTAGAGTTGTTTATGGAGTAAACCAAGACTGTCACTGGTCATCACAGCTCAACTTGTGCCTACTTTCTCGCTCTTCCTTGGGTGCTGAGCCCCAGGGCACTACTTAACAAACAACCACACTAAATTCTGTCTCAGAATATGGTTTCTGAGGAATCAAACTTGTAACAATCGGTAGCACAGAAGTTAAAACATCTGGGTAGTTTTCATAATCTGTACATTTTTTTGCCGAGTTCATTTTGCCATTATGTAGAAATAACCTAAACTACGTATAATTATGATATTAGTTAACTTTATTTACATATTTTAAAAACTCATAATGAAGAAAGAGACACAGGATCATAGCTGATCATTAGAAGAGTTAAGTCAGTTGGCTCTTAATGATTAATCCACTAGACTCTGTTATTCTTATTAAAACTCATCGACTGACCAAACAGACAAACAAAAAGAGGCATTTACTAGTTGTAGCAATAAAGCACTCAATTCATTTGTCATTATTAAATTAAAACATGGTATCTTCCTAGTTAGAGATACAAAATCCTTTGTATTTTATATTACAATCATCTAACATATCAGATAATGCTTTGTTCAGAGTCCTAAACAATCTGTGAATTGAGTTACTTTATTTTTAAAAGAAAAATCTCTACTTCTCAAGTACTGGTTACAGTTCCCAGAATATTGTAGGTCCAATAAATATTTTTAATTGAATCAAAGAAGATTTATTGAAAAATATAATTTTTAAGAATGAAGTTATGGCTTCTAAAAATCTAATTTTAAATATCCAGAAAACATATTTTAAACACATTTAACATTTAGTTAAAATGAAATGAATTAAGAAAACACTTGTATTTGATTTTAAAAATTGGCCTCAAAGATAAATATCAAAATTCAGCACCTCATTCAGAGTTCGGTGTTTCTGTTTGTTTTTATCAGATTGACTAATAAGAACATTCCCGGGAAGATTCACACGATTTGTACTCAAAGTGATTCTAGCCTGTAATGGAGAGGATCCATGCACAAACAGCAAGAAAACGGTATAGGCTTCTACAAAGGCCATAAAAGGGAAGGAGGAGCAAGCTTGTATTTGCTCCTTTGTACATATACTGTATACCAAACACTGCTTTACATATGTTATTCTATTTAATCCCATAATAATCATATGGGGTTAGTTGTATTATCTTAAATATATTGACGAAAAAAAAGATTCAAAAATCAACAAATTAAGAGAGACTAGAAATTTCACCCATTTAGGGATCAGGAAAGCTTTCTTGTAAAACATTGTATTTGAGATGAGTCTTGAAAAAAGACCGAAGATTTAGATATATAAGGAAAGAAACAGCATGACGATAAATATGAAGGCAGAAAAGTGCTGAATTTGTCCAGAGGGTCATTTTGTTCAGAGCAATTTGACACAAGCAGAGAGGAGTATGGGAAACAAAATATTGGAAATGTAGGTTGAGCCAGAATGTGAAATCTCTTGACTATCAGGCTAAGAGTTTGCAATATATTTGCCTAAATGCTGACTGGCTTGATGATGAGACAAAATAGACATAGATTTCAGGGGGGGGGAGGGAATCATGGGAGAGAAATGTTCCAGGTGAGAAGTAATGAGGGCTTGGACTACGAAGTAGATGTGTGGGAGAGGAAATGGGTTTGAAAGATGTTTATAAAGATATCAGGGACAGTTTTGGCAAATAATGGAAGGTAGTGGGCCATGGAGAGAGGTATCAAAGATGACTTCATTCTGTTAAGCCTGGACAAGTGTAAAGGCAATGTTTTCATTAACCAAAATAAAGAAAATGCAAGCAAAGTGTAAATTTGGTAAACAAAGGATTTAGTTCTGGTCTTAGTGAATTTGTGGTGGTTATACCTGGCACATAGTAGACATCCATCAATAGACAGTTTCTTTCTAACTTTATTTATTTTGAGACACACAGAGAGAGAGAGAGAGAGAGAGAGAAAATGTGCACACTCATGGGGGAGGGGCAAAGAGAGGTGGACAGAGAGAATCCCAAGCAGGCTCTGCATGTCAGCGCAGATTCACACAAGGGCTCTATCTCAAGAATCCATGAGATCATTACCTGAGCCCAAATCAAGAGTCTGACTCTTAACTGACTGAGCTGCCCAGGTGCCCCTCAATAAACAGTTTTAAATAAATTAATCCAGCTCATGTTGTCCAGCATGACCACTGGTGGGGAAAATATCTTAAGGATATTACTGTCGAATAAAGTTTGTGTGGAAGAATTCCTCCAGGACACAGAGAGTTTAATACATAGAAGCATTTACAGATCAAAACTTAAGCAAAGAATTGCTGAATTTTGCAGGAAAGGGGAGACCAAGGAAGATGACAGGTGCATTCTAATATTTGAAGTGTTATCCTGTAGGAAGCCAGAATCACTTGTTCTGGATTAATCCAGAAAGCAATTTTGATGTCATCCCATTAAGGTTCTCTTTGCAGTTACAAAAAAGGATTGAAAATGAAAGAAGCCTAACAATGCGCCTCAAAGAATCCCTCTCTTACAAGAAGAAATAAGGATCTGCTAGCAGAGTTGTATAAGGAATGTATGAGGATGTATAACTTATACATCCTTATGTGTACACAGTAGAAGTTGTATAAGGAACGAGTCCTAAGTGAATCTGCAGTAGGAAGGTCACTTGGAACAAAGGAACTAGAATTTCTGAAGGTGTTAGTAAGGAGTGTTGAATTCTGCAGTGGTGATGGAAACAAGTGCTGAAGAGCAGGACCTTGGGGTTGGTATTCAGAATTTTTTCATCAATTTTAAAGCTTCAGTTGAATGTCCAGGAGGGACAATAATTGAAGAGGGTTTTGGAGTGATGGGAAATGAATAAATGAAATCCAATGGTAAAAGACACTTGACAAAAAGGAAGTTTTACTTGCACAAATATTTAAGTGCAGAAGATTAGATCATTAGACTACTTATTTCCAATAATAAGGACATAATTGTATCTTCAGCTTTTAAAAGTAGAGCCAAGTAAATATATTTAGGGTTCAAAGGACTAGGAAATTTCCATTTTTTAACCCAAAATTGGGTAATAAAGAACAGAGGTTTTATTAATATCTTAAAAAGAAGAACTTGGACTTTTATATTCATTTGAAAATTCTGCCTTATGCTAAAGATGAAAAACAAATACAAGTCAAGAAAAACAACTAAAAGGATAATATTTTAAGCTTGAAAAGAAAACCTGACCGTTGCTGTAGGCTGTGTTCAGACAAGCAAATTAGTAAAAACGTAAGCAATTGTCTAACAATATGTTCAGCAAATAGATGCTCTTGGTTATTTAAGCCATATGTGTAGCAACTGATATACCAGTATTTTCAGGCCTAAAATTTTCAAACATTTGCCCAAACTTTCCATTTTACTTGCTCTGTGAAATGAATAACGTACACTTTCAACAGCAAGCATACATTTTTTGAGAATATACTGCTAAGTGCAATTTGTTGTGATTTCTTCATAATTAATAAGCTACCCAAAATAACTCAACAAATGTGAATAAAAAATACATTTTGACTTTCTCTAGCCAATGGAAGAGATGGAAAAGCAAAACAAATCAGTATGTTCTGTAAAACAGACATTTCAATGCCTACCTCAGAGGGAAAACATTATCTTAATATCTTGTTTACTGGGAAATAGAAAAATGAGAGACATTTAGACCATGAGGTTACAAAACCATGATAAATAAACCCTTTTGAGAAAAAAGAGATAAATTTTCAAAAAAAGGGTAGATGTAAAATCATGTGGTAAGAGTCATTTTAAATAGCCTACACCATAAAATATGGGTAAAAATATCAATACTTAGGTACCTTAGAAATGAGCAATTTAGCTGAAAGTGCATCATTTCCTTCATGGCAATTATCAGGAACTGGGATTTCTAAGTCCTGATGAGTCATAGGAACAGGCCAACAGTATACTGGTAAACCAAAAGGCCAAAATCTCATTCAATGGCTTTGTAGTTAGTAACCAATAAACAACATCTTTCTTTGTCAGCCATACAAATCATACCATTGTGAGTAGTCAAGCAAACGGCATTTTTCTACCTAATATATATATATATATATATATATATATATATATATACACATATATATATATATATATAGCCTTTCATATATGTGAATGCTGTGTGGCTGTTTTCTTCTATGAATAAGTTAACTGATTAAAAGATAAAATTTCATTTTATAGAAACATGTAGTTTGCATGCAACAATGTGCAACTACAGAAACCGATATTGAAAAGTAAATGCCCATTATAAAAAGAACCTCCAGTATTTTATTTTAATCAACAGGTTTTTTCCTTTGGTTTATTTATCTATTAATGACAGTCCAATAGTATATCTGAAATAACAACTATTATAGTGGAATACGGTGTTCTTGGTAAAAAAGTATTTGATACTGGTTATCAGATGTAGTAACCTTAATGCTCATAATATGGATATTCATGAATTCATGAAATGAGAACTATAAGAAATATCAGCCTTAAAAAATAATGAATCCTCCCATATACACAGAGACACATCCCCCACCCTACATTAAGATTATTAAATCCCATTCAAAGTAAACAGGGAAAAGAAGCGTTGGTTCAGTCTACTGCACAGAGCTAGTTAATCATTAGGAATAGAATGTGTTGGAATTAAAGGAAAACCTTAAATTACAAACCCAGATATCTTCATCATGATGAAGTGCAAACATTTCAGGCCTTCCCAGAGATCCAAAACCTTGGCATCTGCCAGAATTGCACCCCGCCCCCCAATCTTTCAGATTTCAACCTTAAGAGAACTTCCCTCTTAAGAGAATCTTCGCATAGCTCCCCAAGGACTCTGACATTCGATCTATTCAAAGCACTGGAAATCTGGTCTGAAAATTTTCAAAATGTCTCACTAGAGAAACCTAGACTGTCATTATCATTCCACCTTGTTTGTCCCCAGTTCTCTTTGGACATATTAAACTAAAGAAGCATAGCATCAGCAAGCTAACTGCACACACACATTTTATTTATTTATTTATTTATTTATTTAATTTTATTTTATTTTTGGCAGCAGCACCGGCAGCAGAAATATCAGGGCTCTTTTCTCCTTTAGAATTTGAACTGACCAGACCTGCAGGATCCATTCCCGCACCTTCCTTCCCCCCTTTCCCCCCCCCACCTCACCTCACCCCCCTGCCTCCTTTCCCTCTCTCTAGCTTCAGAAATACAAGAGATTGAGGACATTCGTCTCATCAGGACCCGCACTGGAACCCAGTCAGTTAATGCGGAGGGTAGGGGGAGAAAGTTACTTCGCAGGCAGCGATGTCTCACCTTCCATGCTTGTTGCCATGGAGATGAAATCCAGCCAGTAGACTTAAGTGTTGGCAGGTTTGTCTGTGTTCGCTGATCGGTTCAGTAACAAAGTAAAAGGCGTGTCCTGGGAACCTGCGTGGAGTCACAGGACCGTGGTTAGCGCTTTCCTGGCCTACGTGTGTAAATGTCTATCTGTCGGTGAGAGATAGAGGACGTGGGCGCCCGCGAAGTACGTGTGCGCGTGCGAGTGCATTTGCAGGAAAATGCACCTGATGTATTCGATGTGGCAGGGTGTAAATATTGGCGCGCGCGCACGTATATGTGAAGGCGTCTGACCGTGTGTGTTTGTGAGACGGAGAAGAGTTGGGAAATGAGAGGGGGAAGGGAATCGGCCACCGCAGCAACAGGCTCTATTTTCAGTTTTGCTAAAAAAATTTTTTAAAAATGCTCATTTTCACTCATATCACACTGCAGGTTAGCAATCGTAGTTCATCGCCAATTCGAATTCCTAAGGCAGTGGGGGGTTTAATTAATTTATCCTTAAAATCCTATTTTCCTCTTTTCTGTGTCAGCGTCTGTGCCGCGGGCATTTTGTTGTGATCGTTGACCGCAGTATCAGTCAGGGAGTAGACGCTAAATTCTTCTTTCTTCTCATCCGTTTAGAGAAGGCGAGAATGAAAGTGTATTGGTTTCACTGGGGACTGCATGCGCCATTTGGAGTTGTTTTCTCCTACTCTCCACCTTTTCTTTTCTACGCAAGCCCAACCGGATCCTTCCCGGCAAGATCCCCACCAACCCAGCCGCGTCACCCCCGCATTTTAGGATAGGAGTCTAGGCGCTGTCCGTAGTGCTGAAAAATTGCGTAGTAAGACCTACCTAGGAGGTAGGTGGAATGCTCACACCAAGAAAGAATACTCCATTAAAGCCCATATGTAGTTGCAAGGCACGTTTCCTAAACAGTGTTAAGTACGTAGAATCTAAACCTAAACCTCATTGAAAGCAAAGCCAGACTAACAAAGGAAAAACAACAACAATAAAACCTTTCCCCTCATCTTTACTTAGGGGTGTTGTCCAACTCAGTTATAAGGCTCCAATTCTATTCATGTTTGGATACTATGCCCAGAACCTTCAATTTGCAAACACTTGTAGATTCTCTGAAAACTTAATTATTGACCTTGTAAATTATTAAATTGTCAGCCATGTGGGGAAATGTAAGTTCAGAATTGGGTCATTGTCATGTAAAAAATACTGAAAACACATCATGTAAAGGTGTGTTAGAATTCAATAATAAAGTGAAGACAATGTAATGGTCATTCAGAATATTTACGTATTTAAGAAATTTCATGGTCTCATAAAAAATGGGCAATGTATAACTTGAAGTTCATATAAGACCATACTCAAAAAATTTTATTCTTTTTTATTTAAAATCATTAAACACCCTACAATATGGGTGAACTAACTGCCCACTAATAAGGAGAGTGGAAAAAGTTCTTCCAGTGACATATTCCTAACCATGGTTTTACTGACTTTTTTTAAAAGCTTGCTGAGGGCCACATTTTATTTTGGTACTATGCCAGAACAGGGCTTCTTGAAATTTAATATGCATATGAATCATCTCAGGATCTTGCTAAAATGCAGGTTTTCATTCAGTAAGTGTGAGTTTGGGTCTCAGATTTTGCATTTCTAACAATATCCCAGGTGATGCCAGATGTTGCTAGTTCAGGAACCACACTTCAAGTAGCAAGGTTCTAGAAATACTGTATTCTGGTAATGCAGTCACTCACAGAGTATGGGAAAGGAGGTTGTTTTCTTCCATCTGTTGTTCTATGTATGTTTCTAGACTGCTGTAAGAATATTCTATTCACATAAGTTCAGAAGTTAACATTTTGTTTACACAATATTAACAACTATAATACAAACTGTTTATAAATTTAATCACTTGATCTTGATTTTGACATTATCTGGACACATACCATGTTTACTTCACTCTATATATTTACAGTATAACCTGCAATTACTTAATCCAAGCTCATGGAAAGATGTTTTTACTGCTTGTTTGGGCCTCAGTTCAAGGATTTGTTGTCATGATTTTATGCTCATGATACTGATTTTACCAATGTGAATGTTATATATCTAATTCTTACCCAGTTACAACAGTGGAATAGGGCCATTGTCTCATAGATCATTTGAGTAAATACTGATCTGTGGTGTCATGACATGACACATATATACCTAGATTTTGAAGATGCCTCTGGATGGTTAATGCCTTTGAATTGATGCCAAAGGAAAGTTTTGACTATATATTAGGTTTCTTGGTGTGTATTACTGCATGATCTTGAGCTTTTTCAAGCTATATGAATGGTGGTGATGTTCTGGAAACTCTGCAAAGTGGCTCATTCAGGAAAAGCATAATGAATTAAATGTCTATTATGTTCTACTTTCTTTGCAAGATGCTGAGATACAAAGACAGATGGTCTTTGGTCTCTGAGCTTGATGAGATACATTGCAAAACAACATGGCAAGTTTCATCAAGTTTTATAGAAGCACAGAGATTAATAATATATATTTTATTCTCCATTGCCAAGGAAATGATAAAGAATAGCAAAAGAAATAAAGCCCAGAACATCTGCATTTTGGGTCCTTGCAGTATTTGCCTGCTGCTCAATTTTTATTTTAAAAAATTATTGAAAGATATGAAACACATGAATTCTTTTCTAAAGAGCACATGGTTAATCCATGCTTCTAGATAGTCTATGATTTATTTTCAAAGCAATCTGAATTATTAGAAAGGTAAATATGTGGGTGGCATTGTTTAGACCTTCCCCAAGCAGAATTGCATTTACTATGCTTTGACACTACACTTTCAGCTTACATGCAAATATTCTGTATAAAACAGTCTTCAGTTTATATGCTCTGTTCTCTGTGTACTATAGGGTTGCTAATAAAGCCTTGGACTTGCCAACACATCACTTGTTATTCCTTATATAGGTTCTCTCTAAGAACATTTCTTTTAATGCCAATCTCACGAACTGAACTCTCATACTTTTCCTCTTCACTTAAACCATCCCAAGTTAAGTAGTATATTATCCTCTTATACAGATTGTATATCATGTAAGTGATCCCATTTACCTTTTCTTTAGTCACAAGGGATGTCAAAGTCAAATAAACAACTAAAAATTGGTACCTGTGTAAAATGTTAAGGCCTTTATATTTGTGTTCTTTCTCTACTGTCTTGACTACTGCAATTTTCTTTTCTCGGGTATTGGTATGTTATTTTCTTTTAATTTCCTATTGTAATGTGTGTCCACATATAAATGTCTTCACAAAATCAGACATGAAGTAAAGAAATTAAAAATAAGTAAATAGGGGCGCCTGGGTGGCTCAGTCGGTTAAGCCTCCGACTTCAGCTTAGGTCATGATCTCACGGTTCGTGGGTTCGAGCCTCGCGTCGGGCTCTGTGCTGACGAATAGCTCAGAGCCTGGACCCTGTTTCAGATTCTGTGTTTCCCTCTCTCTCTGACCCTCCCCTGCTCACGCTGTCTCTATCTCAAAAATAAATAAAACATTAAAAAAACATAAGTAGGGGCGCCTGGGTGGCTTAGTCGGTTGAGCGTCCGACTTTCGCTTAGGTCATGATCTCGTGGTTTGTGGGTTCGAGCCCCGCGTCGAGCTCTGTGCTGACTGCCAGCTCGGAGCCTGGAGCCTGTTTCAGTCTGTGACTCCCTCTCTCTCTGACCCTTCCCTGCTCGCGCTGTCTCTCTCTCTCTTTCTCTCCTAGAAATAAATAAAACATTAAAAAATTTAAAAAATAATAAAAAATAATAAAAATTAAAAAAAAGTAAATAAATACATTTATTTTTCTATGTTTTGGCCCCAAATATTGAGTACCTTTTAGACACTTGATCTTAGCCAAAAGGCTGAGAAACGACTGAGTTACCGTTTAGGGATATATGGTTATTCTATAAATTTGTTGTTTTTTAAAATACTTTTTTAATGTTTATTTTTGAGAGATAGACAAAGTGCGAGTGGGGGAGGGGCTGCAAGGGGGGAGGGAGGAAACAGGCTCCAGACTCTGAGCTGTTAGCACAGAGCCCAAGTCTTGAACTCACAAACCATGAGATCATTATCTGAGCCAAAGTTGGAGACTTAACCACCTGAGCCACCCAGGTGCCCCTAAATTTGTTTTTGATAAGATACTAAACTATAGAAACAACAATCATGTAGTTAGCTATGAAGATAAAATATAATTTTTTATGACTCAGTACTAAAGGTTAAGCTAGCAGAAGAAATTTTTAATTTATATAACTACAGATCAGCTTTGTTCTGAAATACTTTCTGTTTCTTCTTCTATATCATACATAGTGTCCTTTATATGACTAGGACTTTTTTTTTTATGTCAGAGAGCAGATGTGTTGATTATCTAACTTGTTTGAAAACATTATAGAACTATAGAAATTTACAGAACATGACAGCCCCATTCTAATGAATATACTTTACAATGAGGGTGTCATGTCACAAAGGAGCTAAAAGCAAGAATTTCTTCTAATAAGCCAGCTCAGGATTCTTTTCAGAGCAAAATTATTCTTACTATGGATTATTTCCACCCTGGCTCTAGTTGTCTTCTTGTGCTCAGGCTTTCTATGGTTGGATCATCTCTTGAATTTATTAGGCCAACATGTCACCTTCAGCTTTTCTTGGAAAGCTGTCTTACCTGGCTGATGTTTGATTTTTCTTTCTAAGCTAAACTGTCTTAATGTAGCTGGGTCTTTTTATTCAAAGTATTGTTACTTATTCTAATATTGGACACTACAACTTTCGAATGAAGAACTCTAAAAAATGTATTAAAGACAAATATAAATTATTTTTGTTATAGATATTAAAATTTTAACCCAAATCCTATTTTGCTTTAGATGCTTTAGATAATTTGCTATATCAAAAAGTCACCTGTTTTTCTTTTTTTTTTTTTCTTGTCTGCAGATGTTGAGTTTTTTAAAGAGCTCCCTATGGCTACAGCTCGAAGGACACTGGAGCACCTTCATCCTGCACTGCTGTTCTGTGCCACCGACTAGCCTCTGCCACCTCTACCAGGAGGTACCAGAAACGCAATGGACAACAGTGGCGTCACCTGTTTTTCTTTAAGAAATACATTCCTACCTGG